TCGTGTATGAAGTAAAATACGTTTACCATTGTGTACCATTGTAGAGCTGGCCCCTCCAAATACAATGCAAACACGTATCTCTTATGCACATCAGACCAATTATTTAATACGCCGATGGCCTCAAATTGATTCAAAAACTCGTCTACGTTGCACTTTTCACTGGTATCAATTTTATTATAAAACAATATTAAATATAAAAATATAAACTACGACCTTATGTACGCTTTCCTGGAGTTTTTTCTTAAAAACATATAAAATGTTTTCACATTGGACTTTTCTTCATTGGAATTTTTCCATTTTGTAGGCTTGCTTCCACCATTTGTAGCCTTAGTTATATTATATATCTCTTCCATTCCCTCAGAGATTTTTCAAAAATAAAATATAAAAAGTTCTTCACATCGGAATTTTCATGTAAGGCGATCGTACCCCACTTGTAAGGCGAACTCCACCATTTCTAACCTCGGGACGTAGTTTAGGTTGCGTAGCGAGAGGTACGTTATAAATATAAAGTGGGATAATCTTCAAAATTAGATATTTATTGTATTTTATTACATGTTCACTTACGGAGGCTATTTCTAGATCTCCCAAGATGTTCTTTTTTCTATCCTATTTTTTTAAACACATTCTAAATACAAAACTATATTCACTCAGCCAGTACTTCTACTCATAGAGTAGATCCTAGACTACAGTACTGTACTATACAGCTTATGATGTTCTGAGTGAAGTGTTATTCTAAGTACGACTTAGGTTATAGGTGGTACGAATTAGGCGACCAGGTGCCCAAAACGTACCAACGGTGCTTTTTGAAAATCTTGTTAATACCTGACTCAATAAACATTTTTGGTATTTTCATTAAAACACATTGATAGTAAAATAAATAAAGATTCCGTAGACGCTAAAGGTTTTGTTTAATTTAAATAACCTTAAATATTACAGAGGTTTTTTTTCTTAGGGGGTACGACAAACGCAACCTTACCCTAACTTGAAATTGTTTAAATTAATCCCTGACTATGTAAAACAAACGTTTCAAAGGGAATTAAAAAAATATGTGTATGAAATACTATTAGATAATTGTTTTTACAGTTTAGATAAATTTCTCATTTACAAATTTAATTAAATTATTATAATAAGAACACATTAAATATTGTAAATAAATTTTATATCATAATTGACATAAATTAATAGAGAGGGACGATAAAATAATATTGTAAGTTTATTACAACGACCGCTATGATATAATATTGTAAAATTTTGCATGTCAGATATAGCGCAACACGCGAGACCAAGTGTTTATGCACTTTTTTTTATCAACGCTTGTACCTCTGAGATCAAGTATTATGCACTTTTACCATCACTAATACCGTGTTTGCTTGCAAATAGACTATTTTCATTTCATTTCACAAACAATCACAAGCAATTTATTATACGAAAAGTAACTTGTTGGAACTGCGATTGCAATCATTGACTTACAAATAAATGGACAACGGGTCTAATACAAAAACCACGAAAAAAATGTCCCAAGTCAACCTATTCGAAATTTAAATTGTAATGTCATCGCAGTATCGCGCTGTCAGTAGAACAAATGAAGACTAAAGCGGAGTTTGGCGCTCTGTGTACGATTTTAGCGCCTTACAAGTGCGGACACTTTTTAGCGCGGACCCGACGTCCATATAATAATTGTAAGTCAATGATTGCAATGCAATTTTTTTATGATAGTCAAGTGACGGGACGAACAAGTCATGCGCCTGGTGGGAAATGACACGTCTATTCATTGACTTACAATTATATGGACGTCGGGTCCGCGCTAAAAAGTGT